TTATTCTTTTAGGTGTGTTTTTGTTGTTCGTCTCGGCTCTGACAGTGATAATATCAGCTTGTCAATTGTCCTTCTTTTCCTTAGATATGGTGACCTTGCTGCTACGCGCCGATCGAGATGTGAAATTTATGTCGTGTCAATTTGAGGTTCTAGGTCGCGTGTTCTGGTAAACCATGGTAATACTTTTCTTCAGCTTATTTAGACTTGATGATCTATGGCGTGGACCCCAATTTCTGAGAGCGGGGAGAGGATCCTCAAGCTCGGATGATGCCCTAGAACATGTGCATAGGGTATTTTCTGGTCCCGCCAGACTCTTCTCGTTGTTGATTTAAACGGACCTTCTGTCATATTCCGGCTAGAGTGTGAATTCAAGAAGGTTTGTTACGTTGATAATTAAAGATCTCAACTAGTTTGATTGGACTTAGTTTCATGTTTTTGCATGTTTTTTGTGGGTCTCCGTGTGGAAATTATTTCGTTTGTCTTATAGATAGATGATTTAGTAGCTCTTGTAATTATATTGTCAATCGGTGTTTTGCCTGGTTTATCAGTTTAATAGAACCATAAAAGCTTTGATAAAAACTAAACCAATATTCTAACCCAATTCCATCTCCTACTTGCATAGTCTTTCCGTTTTTGTCTCAATTCTCAACACACTACACAAGATTGTGTTGTTGTGATGAGCCTTAATCTGTAAACCATTGCAAATTTCTGGTTGCATGGTCTATCTATTTCAATATAGAAGGCATTTTAGAATCGTGACAAAAACTAAGAGTGTGAGCAAGAATGTATATAATATTGTCCGTCAGTTACTTGTCATTGACATCAACACCCGTTGACTCCCTACGTAGTTATATACTTGGCACCGGCGATGCGGAGCTAGTGCCACACCAACTTACAGCCATGGTGTGCCATCAGCTTGTGCTACTCAGAGATGGTAGTGAATTCCCCTCGAACTTCTTTTGTACAAAAAACGTGAGGGGTGTTCTTGTAAGGTTTGAATTTGGTTAAATATGTAGCATTTGGACTTCACAAAAAAGTTAATGGTCATGCTTTTTTTCTCTCATTAAGGCAATAAGTTAGCTTTTTTACCTCCTGAAAGCAAAGTGTAAAACATAACACGTGTTAAGTACATATTTTTACATGGTGGCCACAATGACTTAAAATGCATGCAATATTGCATGAAAAGTAGTTTTAGAAGATTCGAGGAGGAATTCATCTTGTGATACAAGCAATGAGTAAGATTCCATCACGATAGTAGCAAGCATTCAGTGGATCCGGCTCATTGAGCTCCAAAATTAAAAACACTTGAAATCACCATAAAGGTTCCAAAGAAATTAAAAAAACATTATATTTGTATGTGGATGTACATATCTATTCAGAATACCATTTAGAAATGCCTTACTTTTTGGCCTTGATCTATAATAGCAAAAATGGTAGTTATATATATTATCCATTGTATTTTTTTTTCTTTGGTGGCCCACAATAAAAAAATATTAGTACACCTCTATTGGTGCATAGTTTGCGTATATAGTACTTAGATGTTAATTTATTTTTCAGATATTTCTTTCATAAGGGTTCACAAGAGACAAAAATCCATTTGGGTTTTCCAGGTAATGTGTATTTACTACATCAAATTAAACAATATCTTATTAAAGGAAGGAAATATTAACGTATTTTTTATCATTAAAAATAGTCAGAGAACGGTGAATTTCTTATATTATCTACAATCAAAAATAGTTCTAAACATGCAACATAATTTTGCACATTTCTTCAATTCACTAGTCGAAGTAAGGACGACATGAATAACTTTGAAGCATTTTTTTCCTTTAAGAACAGAGCACTAGCTAGATTTAATATGCATTTCAAACTAATATTTTTTGGAAGAATAAAAATGGGGCACCAGCTATATTTAATATGTATTTCAAACTAAGATTTTGGAAGAAAAAATAACTCTGAAGCTTTTTTATTTGAAAAATGGAGCACCAACTAGATTTAATATATATTTAAAACTAATATTTCTTACATTATCTGTAGAAAAAATATTCTAAACATGCAATCTGCTTTTGCATATTTCTTCAGTTCACTAGTGGGAGTAAAGAAGACCCAAACAACTTTGAAGCATTTTTATTTCAATGGAGCAACAACTAGAGTAATATTTATTTCAAACTAATATTTTTGGAAGAATAAAAACATTATAAATTATGCAACATTACATGCACCAGGTTAAAAACCATAAGCCATATATAAATTGCACTCTAATTAAGTAATTACATTGGGTTTGTTGTGAAAAAAATGGAAAGCGGTATAAATTTATGAAATGCTATGGGATTACTATGCAGAAGACTAGTTGTCATATTAATGGATGAGTTTTTGTAGGTACCCAATCTGTAGCATCTGATGTATTCACATTTTTACTGTTCAATTTTCGAAAAACTTTAAGGCGTGAACCCACCCTAAATAACTAGATTATGGTTTGCAGGGTTGTTTGTCTTCCTAAATACGGGTAATCTATATTCTCTTTAATATGTAAAGCATCTATTACACAAGAAGGGCGAAAAATCAAACAAGTATGATTATTTGTGTTCCATGCAAAAGTATTAGGGATAATGAAATTTTCTTGTCATTTTTTCATAACAGTATATGGTAAATTTTTTTGATGGTTTCTTAACCAGTTCATAGAATTTCCTTTATAAATGAAAATTTCCACCTAATTCGAAAGACCTCAAGTGCAAAGCAGTTTTAGACAAGGGTTGAGCTCATGTTAACTGCTCTCAGAAATTTCAATGCTTAATGTCAAGAGATCTCTAGTTTAATGTTCATGTTCACAAATAAAATAATTTAGGGTTAAAATTCATCTTTTTTTTAAATTAGCTGAGTTTACTGGATACTCAACTTTTAGTGTTATTCCGGTAGTGATTGCCGTGAGAGAATAAGAATATACTAATAGACAAAACCATCAGCTTGTGTTATTAAGATAGACATGGTCTGCTACTGTCGGTTCAACTCGGCTTTGGCTTCCTCTCTGCTGGAAGTGGTTCGACCCCTTCCCCGGGGCTCGGGAGTAGTTGGAGGGGCTTATGGCTCTGGGAGAAAGCCTTGGTTCGATGGGGAAGGAAGGATACTGGCGACGATGCTCTTGGAGCTGCCGCCGAAGGGTTCCTTCTCTTCGCTAGATCATGGCTTGTTGGTTTGACCGTTGTCGTGCTGGTGGTTGGTGTGGCCGAACTTTTCCCAAGGTTTGGTGTGGGTGGCTCTGGGCGAAAGTTTCGGTCTTAGATGGGGGTCGGTGTAGGTGGCGGCGACACCTTTGGGTGTAACTATCCTTGTTGAAGGCGTCTTCGAAGAGCTCGCCCACACATCTCCCGGTTGTGGTCATGTTAGTGGTCGAGTTCGAGTTGGCCGATGTCATCATGGTTGTGGGGGTTTTGCACGGTTGTCCCTTAATCATCATATGGTGTATGGTTTCAGCCTAGCTTCCCTTATAAACTAGGCCACTTTGTTTTTGGTTTTTCTATCTTAATGAAATTGACAGTGATATATCCTGGCTTGCATGTCAAAGAAAAAGAAAAGAGAAAACATACCATCCTCACTTTCACCAAATGAAAAAACCACAAGCTCCATGTGTAATTTACAATGACAAAATAATTACATTGGGCCACTTGACCAAAGGTTTTTTCATCAATAATAATAACAGCAAAACCCAAGGTAATTAGTTTTGGTGGGCCTCCAAGCCACCAAATTGAGCAGACTGTCATCTCAAAAGGAAATGATCTATGTGCGTCAAGCCTTTCCATTAGGCACTCAACTAGGTACTACAAAATGTGGATTAATGTCTTCATCCAAGAAGAAAAAAAGAGAAAAGAGAACCTAAAGTGGTAAGTACACACACATGATATTAACTGTACTGTCTGGCAAAAACCGGCAATAGAGGGAGAGGGGCTAGTAGCCGACGCAGTCCACCGGCATGGTGCCGGCATCCAAGAACTGGTGGAACGTGTACCCAGCGGCTGCGGCGTCATGGCCGCACTCGCCGTGATCGACGTCGCTGCCACCCACATCGTCACACGGCGGTTGGTTCAGGTCGAGCCATAGCCCGGGCTTGATGCCGCCTCCGCTGCCAACAACCACAACGGCGTTGCTGCTGTCGTCAAGGTTATTGACCGTTTTCGCCGGCGGCCCCGCCGTGACGCCATGGCCTCCTGCAACCATGGCACGGTGACGCCTCATGTGGCCGCCGAGCGCCTGACCGACAGCGAACTCGAGGCCGCAGATGGAGCAGCCGTGCATCTTGGGCTTGAAGTCGCCGTCGCCATCAAGCCGCGGCTTCTTGTGGCTGGCGCGGTGGCCGCCCAGCGCTTGGAACGACGGGAACACGCGGTCGCACGTCTTGCACATGAACGCCCGCTCCGGGGCGCGGTCACCGCGCCCGGTCACACTCGCACCTACCGACGATGGCATCGGCATCGGCATCGCCTGCTCGCGCGACACGAGCAGCAGCACGCGCGCCATCTCCCTCTCCTCGAACGCAAATCTCTTCATCATTGCTCACTAATCACTGAAGATGAAGCTTAATCAGATGGACAGATGGAAGAAGAAGAAGAAGCAGCTGAGATTGGCAATGGACAGATGGATGAAGAAGAAGCGCATCGAACTGCGTCTGTATTTATAGACGAGGAATTAGGCCATAAAGTAACCAGCCAGTAGCAACGCAGCAGTGACTCTAACCATCTCTGCATGAGTTTCTGATTAAACAAACAGCACAAGCTACCCCTACAACAAGACCAAGAAGCAGCTGCCGCCTTCTGCAGGAGCACGTAACGCGGCGCCATGGAACCATGCATGATGCATCTCTTCTCTTCTCTTGGGCTAGCTAATGGATAAATATGCAGCAGCTAGCAGTAGCAGATCGTGCATGATGATGATGATGCATGATGCAGGCGGCCAATTAGATTCTGGGTCAACTGTTCCCTCTTCTAGAAACATGTCCCGTTCCAGAGAAACCGAGAAAACAAATTCACTGTCCAATATGAATTTGGATAGACACCACTTGCAGACTCTTGCCAAGATTCAGTGAAGCCTGGCACAACAACACTGAAACTTCATTTCACAAAATGGAAGATGATACTACTGGAAACTCATGCATTTTAACTGGAACTTGGTGGGCCCACCAAACTACCTAAGTAATTGCTATCTGAGCCCAGGCTCATCTGCTCCCCATGAATAGATCCTGCAGAGCTTTACTTGTGTGAGCTCCATGAGTTTGGCCGTGACTCATGAATGACTAGACCAACATCGCAATCTGGAAAGACAATTATGCTTGATGAATAATTAGTTGCTGCTTGATGAATGATGAGCTCATGAAACGCCTCATCGCTGTCCCAAGTAGCCACATGAAACAGTATCTTGAATCTGATACGTAGCTTGTGCACTCACTCAGTCGCCAACAATGCTGGCTGGCAGTATCAAGAAAAGGCCTCTTCCAGTTTGTGGCTTCATCCAGCCGAAAAGCCACCTTAGTTAAAACTGGCGTTAAACAACCATCGGAGTAGTAGTAATACCTAGCCGTATATACATACATACATACACACATATATATATATATATATATATATATATATATATATATATATATTATCTGGCCCGTACCAGGCAGCACATCTTGACCTAATTGTATGTGCTTTCAACAAGTTGTCTGTGCTCAAAATTAACTTCTGCAAGAGCATTTCCGTAAAATAAATTCTACGTGAGCTTTTTTTTCTTGGTGAAGACTCTTTCCCTACAAATTCAGAACTTGTCCCTTCAAGTATCCGAGTTTTCCTATCCACTTCAAGAAACTCAGGGATGCTGACGAAAAAGAGACTGGATCGCTTTGAGAAGCGCCTAAGTGTATGTACTTCCTAAGAAAAGCATCTCTTAGTTGGAGACGCTTGGTGTTAATAAATCCCATGCTCATCAGCCTTCCTATGTAGTATTGTACATTATATATCTTTTTTCGAGATGCCAAGTGGTACACAAAAGGCTCGATCACTATTCATCCAGGTTTTAATGGCAAAATGACATGCATAAATGATATACTCCTTATTTCAAAATATAAGGTGTATTTTTTTCGTATTACATCTTGTCAAACATACAAAGGTTTGACTTCTGAAGAAATGCATACACCTTATATTTGGAAAGGTGGAGACTATATATAAACTCGCAGATTGGAGTATATTATGTAGGCACTGATCATGTTGGCTTGAGAAGGCTGCTTTGCGAGTGATTTCTAGGCTCCTCAATACTCACTATAAAGTACCTAAAAATAAAATTCGACCGCGATTTCACGACTCAATGGCAAGCCAGGGGATTCCCACTTCTGGGTGGGCGCTTACGAAAATGAAATCCACGCCATTCTGAAATGACTCCTTTCATATCCATAGTGAACCCAAATTAATTTGGTTTTGGATTGACTTGGTTGGGATACACTCCACTTTCTAGACAATATTTACGCCTTCTCAACCTGGCGAGAAAAAAATACACGTAACTACGGCACACGCCATAAGCACTGCTCCCTGAGTAGTTCCATCAAACCTTTGCTCCATTTATACAATCTGGTCACAAGATTGCTCTAGTGCATTTAACCGTGATTCCGTGAACAACACCAATGTAATCTTCGTCAAAACGGGGCTTTCTACACGAAATTACTCTGGCATGCCGAGAAAGTTTCCAGAGTTCTATTTCCCATGAACAAGGTTTTTTTTAAGGTACAGGTAGGGCATTAGCCACCATCTTTGCATGGCATCGACGTCACTTAGTCTGTTAGACAGTTCATGCATCATGCAGCTTTGCATTGGTTTGGTAATTGGTAGCATGTGTGATGTGTGAGCCTCTGGACCATATCCGGCTAAATTTCATGTTTTGACCATTTTCTAAAAGTTGATCGAGATCTGACCCTACTTTGTAAAAATTTCGGGATCTGGCGCTTTTGCTACCGCCAAGGTCCATGGCGGTAGGGTTGCATGCCCTATCGTATTTTTTTTCTAAGTATGAAACACAGTGTGTGCTCGCACCTACCGCCGGACACCTTGACCGTAGGGTTGTACAGCCTACCGCCGGTCTGTTTGGCGGTAGGGGTGTTTCCTACCATCAGGGTCCCTGGCGGTAGGCTGTTACACCCTAACATCATGGACCTTGGCGGTAGCAAAAGAATCAGATCCCGAAATGTTTATAAACTAGGGTCAGATCTCGATCAACTTTGAGAAAAGGGTCAAAACACGAAATTTTGCTACCATATCCATCTCAATCCAAACCTGCAGCTGAGTTGAGCCTGATCTAGCTCCCTTCGACGTTAGCAGCCAGCAGTTTATTAATCACCTGGAGCATGCTTGAACAGCTTCAGTTTTCTGCATACGTATGTACACCACCATTATTAATCATATGTGTAAAGCTGCAAGGAGAGTTGCAATGCAAATTTGCTTCTTGATTAACACTTGTTTAACCTTGAGCAAGAAGGGATACTTATTTGCATGCACACATGAGAAGCACTACGTGCTATGGACTAAACTAAACTAGCTAGGGAATTCAGGCCTCAAGATTCGATCGCTTTAGTATAGTAAGTAACAGTTCTACGCGCTTCTCCTTGATGATGGAATCACCGAGGCATCAATTCTTGTGTTAGAAATATTAATTAGGGATGCTTTGCATTTGTCAACATTTGTGTGCTCATGACAACCTCATCAAGCATTACATGATTAAGGGAATACCAGCTTTCTTTACTAGTACATGCAACTACCGAGCGACAGGAGAAGGCTAGGATAACTACTACACTTGTAAGGCACCCGGTATCGAATTATTTTTAGGAATCTATCAAAACCCTCCTTATGGAATATCAATTCTTCATATCCCACAATGTGTCCATTCCTGGCTAACATGGAGAGAAAATGTGGGTTATCTTGCAAAATGAAATAGAATAAAGTCAGAAAGTATTTTTTTAAGAGACTATGTCCCCACTATATATGTATATGAAATCAAACAAAAATTTAAGGTTAAAAACCTTAATCCCATGATACCAGACACGTTTAAAAAAATGATCTACTAATATCCACGATAAAGAAACTAGTGAATCATTTATTTCTTTAAACTGGTGTCGTCACTGAATAGTGTCTCCGTAAAATGGTGTAAAGAGATGGCCTAAGGTCAAATATATATCCTCCCATGATATATACTAATCCTACATAACTAATAATTGTAATTAATTCATGAAGCTTTAGCGAATTATCTAACCATTAATATGTTTTGAACTATGTATTAACTCTCATTCACATTATTCAACACAATTTTATTCTTGAGACAAGCCATGCATAAGCCATGCGTCATTGTAGAACTATCCATAGAATGCAAATTGTAGTCATATGTACAGGAATATCTAGGTGTATAATTATGTGAAGAATTCGGCTTGTAACAACAGTTGGCAAGTCAAGATATCCTTGCTACTATACAAAAACCATTTAATATAGAATAATAGCTAATGGGCGCTACATCAAAGTAACTTGTTAAAAGAAGGAGAAGAACACCAATGCAAAGTTCTCATCATCAAAAACAGTTTAATATGTATATTCTTTAAATAATGTAGTACCAGCTAGCTAGCCCTGATAGTGTACTAAATTTCCATTTTGATACGCATTTCAAAGTTCAAGAAGTTTATCCTAAAACTCAAACTATGGTGCTAGGTCCAACTTGAACCTAAACTATGAAACAATACATATTACCCTAAACTTTCTAAAACTGTTCCATTCCAACCTAACTTTGTTTGGGTAGTATTTTGGCATTTGGGGGTATCAAATAATGTGAAAACAATTCATAAATTTAACGAATGCGATGAGATCTAGGAATTGCGAGTAGTAGTTTATCTAAAAAAATATGACCTTTTATGTCATGTGCAGAAACGACGAGAGATATAGATTCCTCTTATTTTATGTAGAATATGACTTTTAATATTCTTTTGAATGATTTTTCACATGCTCCCAATTCCTAGATTTGCCTTGTTTCATGTTTTTAATTCATTTTCTTGGAAATCCTAATGTGTAGCTTCATCCAAAAATAGTCCTAAAAATCCAAAGATATTTAGAACATACAGAATTAATGATAAATATGGAAACCTGGAAGCCCGAACAACTAACATGATTATTTGTTTTCCATACAAATTCACGAGATAATAAGTTTTTCTTGATTTTTTGAGATGGCATAATATTCATATTTTTTATCAAGTTCTGCAGATGATCATGTCATAACATTTCTTTAACATACAGAACATGTCACCCTTTTTAGAAGACCACAAATACGAGCAACTCTTCAAAATCGGGTCCAAGTTCCTGTTAAATTGTTTTAGTATCATAGGGTTTATTTTAGATATAGTGTTATAGTTCACGAATATGGACCACACGATAGTTTATGGTTCATAGTGGAAACTATTCAGATCTTTTTGGTAATCATGAACACCATACTAAAAGAGGCAACTGATAAACCACAAGCTTCATATTTACTTTACTCCAATTATATAATTACATTGAGCCACTTTACAAAAGGATTTTTTTCAATACCCGGAAAATCTGCGGTAAGTAGCTCTAGCGAGCAACCAAAGCCAGCAAATTAATGAAGCACAAAATTAATCACCCCAAAGAAACTATTTATGTTCCATGGCATGCCCTCAATTCGGCACGCATATACCGCCCTTTCATGTCCTTTTAATTATTTTTCATGAAATTCCTAATGTGCACAATCTTTCCAAACTATTTCCAAAGAAATTTAGGACATTGAGAATTAATACTAAAATTGAAACCATGGGGAGAAACAACCAACTAGTATGATCATTTGTGTCCCATGCAAATAAATGTGATAAATGAACTTCCCTTAATTTCTTCACATGACTTAAGAGTTATATTTTAGGTTGGATTTTTGTAGCTTATCATGCCATAGAGTTTCCTAAATATTTGAATTAGTTTACCCTTTTTTGGAAGGCCAAAAATACAAGGCACTCTTCATAACCATGTTTTAGTTCATTTTAATCAGCTTTTGAATTTTCAGGGTTTTACTGTGGATAGTTTCAGAGCTCGTGGTTCAATTTGAAGTTTTGGACCACATGAAAATTTATGTTTCAAAGTGGGAATTTATAAAAAAAAAATAGTTTGGTAATATTGAGCACATACTAAGAGAGTCAAGACAACATTGAGCTACTTGACCAAAGAATATTTTTTTGTCAATATTAACCGGACAAATAATAACCGAAAAACCTGAGGTAAATAGCTCTGGTGAGCCTCCAAAACTACCAAATTAAGCACAAAATTAATTATCTCAAAGAGATGATTTATGTGCTATGGCATGCCTCCCATTAGGCACCCATCTAGTGCTACAAAATATGGATTTATCCTGCATGAAAAAAGATTAAAACAATTTACTACCAAAGTACACAAAATCAACATGAAAAAATCAACTAACTAAAAGAGATCCTAAAAGTGGAAAGTAATTTAGGGCGTAGAGAATTAATTCTAAAAAAGAAAACATGATTAATCAACCAACTAATAAGATCATTTGTGTTCCATGTAAACACACAACTAAACACAATAGGTAATTGAAAATTTCTTGATTGCTTGACATGACATAAATAGTCATATTTTTTGGACGAATTTGTGCTGACTGTAAAGTCAGAGTGTTTCCTAAATATATGGAACCTTTCGCCTTTTTTGAAATGCCTCAAATGCAAGACACTCTTCAATACTAGGTCTGAGTTCATGTTAAATGGTTTTAGAGTTTTCTGGGTTTAATGTGGTGGACAGTTGCATAGGTCACGGTTCAATTTGGAACGCACGATAATTTATGGTTCAAAGTGGACAATTTAAAAATATCAAAAAAAAGGTAATAATGAACACCTACTAAAAGAGGGAAGATGACATGGGGCATGAATTGATAAATCACAAGATCCATGTATACTTTACTACAATTGGATAATTACATGTTGAGCCACTTGACCAAAGGTTTTTTTGTCAATAATAACCGGGCAAATAATAACCGGAAAACCTGAGGGAAATAGCTCTCTGGTGAGCCTCCAAGCCACCAAATTAAGCACAAAATTAATCATCTCAAAGAAATGATTTATGTGCCATGGCATGCCTTTCACTGGGCACTCGTCTACTGCTACAAAATATGGATTTATCCATGCATGAAAAAGGAATAGAAAAGGGGTAAAAAAGAAGTTACTGCCAAAGTACACACAGGAAAATATTGTACTATCCGGCAAAAACCCGGCAACGGAGTGGGAGATGGGGTAGCTAGACGCAGTCCACCGCCATGGTGCCGGTATCCAGGAACTGGTGGAACGTGTACCCGGCGGCAGCTGCGTTGTGGCCGCACTCGTCGTCGCTCTCGCTGCTGGTGCCGTACTCATCGCAAGGTGGATGGTTCAAGTCGAGCCATAGCCCACGCTTCATGCCGACAACGGCGTCGTCGCTGCTGTCGCCGTGCTTCTTGATCGCTGCTGTCGGCGGCGTCATAGCCATGACGCCGCCACCTCCGCCTACGGCCATGGCACGGTGGCGCCGCATGTGGCCACCGAGCGCCTGTCCGATGGCGAACTCCAGCCCGCAGACGGAGCATCCGTGCAACTTGGGCTTGAGGTTGCCCCCGTCGTCCAGCCGTGGCTTCTTGTGGCTGGCCCGGTGCCCGCCCAGCGCCTGGAACGACGGGAACACGCGGTCGCACGTCTTGCACACGAACACCCGCTCCGGGGCGCGGTCACCGCGCACCGCCATCGGCATCGGCATGGGCATCGCCTGCTCCCGCGACACGAGCAGCAGCATGCGCGCCATCTCCTTCTCCTCAAAAGCATACCTCTTTGTCATTGCTCTGGACCCAATTGATCAATCTCTGAAACTCTAAAGATGATGATGATGATGAAGATGAAGAAGCTGATGAAGAAGAAGTGCATCAAGCCGCAGCTGTATTTATAGGCCATTTGCACCATAAAACAAATAAGCCAGTAGTAGCTAGGCAGTAGTGACACTTAATCTAGTATATGTGTCTCCAGTTAAAGAAATGCACAACTTGGCCCTAGAGATAGATGAAGAGGGAAGCAACGGCGTCGAGTATCGCTGCTCCCCTGGGATGCAATTTAAGTGGTTCGATATCGACCCGCTCTAGAGCCACACGCAATGCGTCGCGAGCTCAGTGCATCCCTTGGATTAACAGAAAATATATGTAGCATGATGATGCACATACCTGTGCACGGCCGCTTCAGTAGTTCAGTTCAGATCAACCAAAGGGGCTTATTCAGGTTTGACCTGTGCACATGACTCATGAGGGCCTTTATATATTCTCAAGGTCAACTGTTTCCTCCTCTAGTGTCCTGTCTTGTTTTGGAGAGACTGAAAATTTCAATAGCAGAATCTTTGAAATGTGGCAGGATAGGATATCAACAAGTGCACTTCATATCAGAAAGGAAAAAAAGGATCAGTTGAGAACTGAGATGAGATTATGACATGCTACTTTGTGTCAAAACTTTTTATTCCTTTTTTTGTAGATTATGACGACACGGTACTTTGTGTCAACGAAGATCCCATTTTCCTTTTCCTGGGATAAATTGTGGTCCACTGAATCCTGCAGAGTTTACTTCTGTCAGTCCCATCAGTTTTGGTCGTGACTACCTAGGCTGATTGCTATGGCAACCTAGAATTGCAATTAAATTAGTATCACACCGAAGATCGCTGAAGATCGCCTGCTTAATGATGCTCTTATCAAACGTCTCATGCCTGCTCCAAATGGCACATGAAACGGTATCTCTAGATCTCTTCTTATTTTCCTTATTTTTTCGTTAGGGGCATCTAATACCTTTTGCACTTGCAATGCTGGTACAGTGTCATAGATGGCTCTTCCAGTCAAAAGTAGCCAGGCTAAACTACCATCAAGTAGTGGCATCTGAGACTGGACATTAAACAAATCCAACTCTTCATGTTAAAATTAGCGGTTATCACCGATGATTGGTTCTCGGGGTTGCTTCCGTCCACACCGCACTAGCTGATTGGACTGAACTGATCAATAATTGCTGCTTGATGTCAGCAAGAAAGTAGCTTGGCTTAGTTGTGCATCCTCTACTTTCTAGTTTTCTAATTGCAACTTGTGTTAAATAGTGTCTTCTGTTGCTACTTCAGGACTTGAGAGTTTGTGGCGTCTCGGTTTGTTCCACACAGTGGAAGTGTTTGATGGGCATCAAATGGAATCTTGCCCCTGTTCACATTTCAGAGATAAGAAATGAAATTACTAAATGAAGATTCTATGTCATGGATCTCATCAGACTCTTGGTTATGTGATGTTTAAACCTTTTTTGAGAGTAATTAGTACTTAAGACTAAATTAAGAGTCTAGGAAATCCATCATGTACCTGCTTCTCAGTACTTGAGATTCTCCAGATAAGTAGTGGCACTGCTAGTAGTACACAGATGACAACGCACATTTTTTTCGAATCCGTTCGCTGCGTCTCATAATGCTGGATGCAATGCAAAAGAATCCGCAAAGGCCAGTAGGCAAGATGGTCCTTTGTGCACCCTCAAGTAACATGATCCTTCGGTGCCGACGGTACGCTCAAGCCAGTATTATAAAAGGAGCAATTATTCTCTGCTCGCCAACTGTCCAGTTGATATAGAAGATTCAGATAACTTGCTGAGCACACATTTGCCTGAGGAACAGAAATGGCCAATTTGCAGTTTGCTGAGCACACATCTAGATGCTGCCGATGATTGGCGTTTCGAGGCTGGAGTTCTATTCGCCCCAGCAACTTACGCTCATTGGTTTAGTAATAATAATCACCCTGACAGCACATAACATGTTAACATAAGTTACTTCTTTGTCCCTCTCAAGTCAGAATCTGAACTTGGAGCTTGCGCTGCATCTGCCGTTCCCCGCATAATTGAGCAAAGATACAACTTTGCTTCCCTCTCAGCATAAACAACAAGAACAAGCCCTGCTATTTGCCGCATAAAATGCTCAAAAGTAGAAGTTTGCTTCTTGGTTTGCCTCAAGATTCAGCAACATCTGAGATTCTCAAACCCCTGTATCATCATGTCAAACCTACGCAGATTGCTAACTGGCACACGGCTTTGGTGCCCAATGCTCAGAATTGCTTGTGTTGACTTGCTTCCTATGCTAGTTATACTTATATCTGATTTCTTGGTACCAAAGAATCAAAGCAAATGTTTGGTACCTTTGTGGTAATTGTTTTCTCACTTTGTCTAGCATGGGGCACAACATACATCACTAAAATATAAATTGAAGAAGCAATGTCAGCCATCATTTCTGAAGGAAAAAAAACTAGAAAGGCCGGTAAGAGCGATCGAGGCGTCGAGCGGTTCCAGTTTTCTGCGTCTACTTTCTGAGTAAGCAATGTGCTGACCACCGATGCATAAGAATCTTCAAGGGAAGGGGCACTACTTTAGATGCTGCTGACTGATTCCAAAGGTTAGCTAGTACACAATATGATATTAGGCGTGCGTCACCGCTTGAGATTGCAGTTTGGGGTCGCGAAGGGGCAGAATATTCCTTGATGATTCAGGGGGCAGAATTAGCACCACTAATTGCAACCCCTTGCTACATAAGAGCCAGCATCCTAATTTTATGAAGAAATGAGAGAAGAGGAATCGGGACAGCTATACTTCTCATTGATTTTCTCCAAATCTTGAAAACTTGAATTGGACTGGCAAATCAGAAAACAATGACCTGCTATAGGCTAGGCAGTAGTGTCCTGTTTAGAACCCTAAGATACTGTTTTGTTGATTCAGTTAGCTTGCCACGTTCTATCCACTTCAATTATGTGGTGCAGCTCTAATCTGCACCAACTACAATTAGAAAAAAAAAACAAGGTGGAGTTCAAAAGCAACTATGAATTGTATAGTTGGAGCTAGTAGTGCTGTGATGCAACTAAGCATCAGTGCAATTGTTTTTATCCGTTGAAAGAGAAATATCTGATTAGCACAGCACACGGGATAACAAAGATGCGTGACTTTTTTTAGTAGAATCAGTCGTAAGCAAGGATTCCAAAACCGGATACCAGAAAATACCGGTTAAATATGGGCGGTAACTAGTTTTCCTTTTACGGACAGTTCCATCCAGCAACCAAATTTAAACTCAAATATATGGATTTATTTTTTTGCCGTACTGCTCAGAATTCAATTCCAAATATCTTTTTTGGGGTGTGTTTGTTGCAACTGGTGCATCTGATCTCGGTTTCCCTATCAAGTAGTGTTCGGGATTTCCAAAATAAATTCAAGTCATACACACATCCAGTGCTAACAAGGAAAACATGCCACATTCATTGCCCGATTTGGATTAGCTATTCACACGAGGTTTGCCTTTCTGTTTTGTTTCTCGAGCTATATTTTGAGTTGAGATTTGGAATCTTGTAACACGGTAGAAATATTCCTTTTCTACATCCACAAAATTTGAAGAATTTTTGAACAATTCTAAATAGGGCAACCAAGGTCGGGTGCACCACGGGGCGCCCGATGCACCAAATATGATCCTTATAAGGAAAGGATGATGGTCCTTTCTTTTGATAGGATTAGGATCCATCTCACCTCATTGCAACATAGTGGGGTTATGTGCGCTATTTGCGAGGCGCCAAAAGCCTCATAGGTTAACCGAAACCACCTACCAAAGAAATAATGGAAGGTGATATTTTCTTCTTTGTTCTGCCAATGGATAAAGAAGGCAATTGAAAGTTGACAAACACAAATCATCGTCATGAACAACCCGTTGCTCTCATGAGTGACAAACTGGGTGAAGAAAAACTTGCTTTTTGAGAAAGAGTTAAGTCATTATCAGAGAAAAGAGCAGCAGAGGGTTGCTGCGTTCGGGGCTGGAACTCACACTGTTAGAACCTCCCTGCCTGGGAGAGGAGAGAGAGCACTTTGCTTCTGCCTGGATTTTCTAGGGTTCTTGTCGCCATCTCCACGTAGGTCGCCACCGGTGTGATGCAGACGGCACTGCATGTTGGAGTATCAGGCATAGTTAGTGCAACGCACCTAGATATCCATACATGTCATCACACACATACAAAAGCAAGTGGTCAGTAGTGATTGATTCAGTCAGCATCCAGTAGTAGTAAGCACATTTATGTTGACATCCTAATGCTTTGTAAGATCTCACGGTCTTATATTTTTTGTTTGGTTTCTCCATTTGAGTTGACAAGCCAATACTATCTCTAGTAATTTTTTCAGATGTATCTTCAAAACCAAATGTTAGTTAGCACAGGAACAAAATAATGGTTAGAACAACATATTTCGGATACTGCGATTTGTTCCTGGTATTAATAAGCCGTAATAGCAAATACAGTGCAAATAGATTGAGTACTGGACTCTGCCTAATTCATCATGCAGCCAAACTTTTCCACGCAAAAAAGAATATGACGCAGTCAAAATTCGATAAGGGTAAATGGAAGATACAACATGTGTCTACTGCCATACAAGATTGCTCTGTAAAATGTCTCGTGATCATCCTATTGAGGAATCATTTCCTCTCCTTTAGAGGAGAAAATTCTTGGTGCGGCTCGAACGAAGGGGCACTACCAATCAAAAAGTAACTGGTCCACCGTGATCATTTGGCCTTGTTGGGGCATTCTGATGAGAGATGACCAGCTATGCCGCATTCATAGCACGTCCGTCTCTTCTTTTTCTTTGGAGGCGCCGAGCTTGTGTCGTCACTAGGTTTATTTTCACCAGAAACAGCTGAAGGTTCCGTACTTGAGCCACCAACAGGTTTAACTGCTTCCTCGGGATTAATCTCAGTGGCCTTTTTGTTGGGGCAAGCTGACGAGAGATGACCGGAGACGCCACATTCATAGCATGTCCGTCTCTTCTTCGATGCTGTTGAGGCAGATTCAGTATTGGCCTTCTTTTCATCAGCTATGACTTCAGGAGCACTTTTATTTGGGCAAGCAGATGATAGATGACCAGGAATGCCACATTCATAGCATGTCCGTCTCTTCTTCGACGCTGTTGTGGCAGATTCAGTATTGGCCTTAGTTTCATCAGCTATGACTTCAGGAGCACTTTTATTTGGGCAAGCAGATGATAGATGACCAGGAATGCCACATTCATAGCATGTCCGTCTCTTCTTTGATGCTGTTGTGGCTGAGTCAATATTGGCCTTAGTTTCATCAGCTCTGACATCAGAAGCCTTTTTGTTGGGGCAAGCTGACGATATATGGCCAGGAACGCCACATTCATAACACGTGCGTCTCTTCTTCGACAATGCTTCAGCTGAATCAGTATTATCCTTATTTTCACTGGATATGACTTCAGAAACCTTCTTATTAGGGCAAGCAAAAGAGAGATGGCCAGGAGTGCCACATTCATAACATGTACGGATGTTGTTCTTTGATGAGTCTGAAGTTGCATTGTCATCTGGTTTCTGGTTTTCTTTCTTGGGAACTGCGCATCTGATTCTGGCTGGTCTCCCCTTAATCACGTTCTGGTCAAGCTTCAGAGCAATAGCAACAGATGTGCTATCAGAAAAATCAACATGCGCGAAGCCTTTGAATCCACCTGTCTCCTTGTCTGTTCCAAAACGGATGGATGAGATCTTGCAATCAGAAAAGAACTTCCTCAGATCATCCTCTGTTACGTCCCAAGCTAGGTTTCCAACATATGTCCTATTGTATCCCTCTATCATCTTTGGGGCAAAATCTTCCTTCTCATGGTTAGATTTGACCTTTTCGCGGTTAGCCTTGTAAGGCTGGACTTTCAAAAGGAATCCTCCCCTGTGATTGTTTAACAAAAATGACGTCACTTATGAATCACAACTGAAACAAACAAGGGGTAACATTAAGGAGATGTGCTTACATATCTGCACCATCAAGGGCCAATGCCCTTTTTGCGGCGGCATCAGTCTGCACAAGAAAACTCTGTCAGGTTTCAACTTCCAAACAACTCTAAAAGCATGCTGCTGATGAGTCATGTGAATTACTCTACTCGTGATAACAGATTAAGAGCATCTTGTGGTGGTACAAGTTGACTCCGATGGACTAAAATGAAACTAAAAAAATGTAGATAAGAGCACTGTTCAAAAGTTGTACCACAAGATTCAAGCTACAGGCAGATCCTCCAAACGACGACAATGACTGAAACACACTGCTGATAAGTCATGTGCTCTACCAAGCAGATTAAGAGCATCTTATGTTGGTATCGAGCCAACTCCAATTTATTACAAAAAATTAAATGGTCGATGAGAGTTCTGCTCAAACATTGTAGTAACATAAGACGCAAGGGTACACCACCGCTTACCACCAAAAGACCTTAAAGATGAATGCACTAGAGGTTTGGAAATAAAACCAACAATTTCTACACAAGTCAGACTGCCATACATACACAGTTAATTGAATCAAAACGCCAATGTCATCAAACCTTAAACATTCAGTACACTAAGAAGATGTCTTAGATTGTTCAATATACTTGTAAATTGAACATGCCTGCATGAACATGAACACAACACTAGAACAAAGGGTACTACGTTTCGAAGCTGACCTTGAATGTGAGAATGGCAATACCCCTGAACTTCCCGGTGTCAGGAAAAGTCATGCAGTCCAGCGCAGTGATACTGCCACATCCTTCAAAGAAACTTCTAATGTCATCCTCAGATGAATAGTACGGGATTCCACCAACATACACCTTCTTTATACTTTGCTCACTGAAACAAGGAAGCAAATTATTAAACAGCTGCCAAAATCCTATAAGAACCTGATCTCCACCCTGTTTACCACACTCCTTACCAATTCAATAAACATACAACCAGAAAGCATTAAAATTGCCATATCATTTCACAAAGAAACTTCCAGACCGAACAGTTTTTTTGTGCAAGAAAAAAGCTCACAACAAAGTCTGATGAGCAAACAATTTCTGATGTACTTCCTCCATTCCTTTATCTAAGGTGTATTATTTTCGGCACGGTGACCAAGGCACATAATTATAGACATGTTAGGATGAAATTACCCTTGGCAAATTTGTTGTTTAGTGGCAAGCAAATCGGTTAGTCCAGGAAAGTCAGAAATATATGCAATCGACAGAGAGATAGTTCCCTTCTTTTGCTACAAGGAGAGATACAAACAATCAGGAGAGAGATACTTTCCTTTTTTCTGGAGGGCTAACAAGGGAATTATGAGGAATTAGAAGAAATGCACCTTACATTCTGGAATTTTATCAAAAAACAAATACACCTTACATAAAGGAACGGAGGGAGTGCTGTAGAGTTATTGCACTATTCGAGTCAACAGCAAAGGTAGACAGTCCAAGTCCGAGCATCTCCTAAATTTGCAAAAAGCCAATCATGCTATACTAGTCTAAGTCAGTAAATCACTATGTTATTTTTATCCCTCTAATTATTTGCAGAGACAGTGTCTTGTCTTACATGCCTCTATTCTGTGATATCTTCAGTCCTCATACCTATGAATCGATAAGGGAGGTATTCACGAACCAGAACATCTATCCATTACAGCTTTAGCTCACCTATCTTGCGACACAATTGGATTGTCGGATGCACCTGCCTGGCCAGCCTCTTCTGACTTGATTTTCTTCACCTCTTCTGACTTAATTTCCTTCGCCTCTCCTTCCACCTTTGTGGCGTCTAGATTGTGTTCACTGAAACAAGTACAAAAAACATTACATAACAAATGTTAATACAAGGACCAGACAGGTAAACACCACCGTCTTACACCTCATCGAGATTCAGCATGCCAAAAACAACCCTAGAAAGCAATTAAAGTGCCACTTCACAAAATGAAGTGTTATATTCCACCATGGAAGGCAAACAAAAGGTGTTTTTCTCATATCAAAACCAAACTAGATGGTCAGATAATTGCTTACGTACTACAGCATTTACAATGTTACGACTACTTCTGAATGATAAAGCTAAACCATCCAAACCTAACTAGAGCATTTACAATGTCCATCACCCATATCAGCTGAACTCAGCTCTACCAGCATGCTATGCAACTATCTCCGATTTTCTCTATGCAGCAATGGCATCTTAACATCAAGAGTTCAACAAATTTCCTATTTACATGGCATGAACCTAACAAGTGACAACAAATGAGGTACTCTAACACAAATGCACCAATTTGTCGAAGCGCCAACTCACCTATCATCTGGCACGGCCAGATCAGTGCCGGACACTTCCACGTCCTGCTTCTCCGCCTCATCATCAGACTTTTTGTTCGCCGCGGCCTCCGCCTCCATCAGTCTCCTGACCCTCCTCTTCTCCTTCTTCTCCTTCCTCCTCTCCTCCCTCCGCCGCATCACCTCCGCCTTCTGTGCCAGGGCTGCCTCGTCCACCACCGCCGGCTCCTCCAGGTCGTCACCACCATCCACTTCCAGGCCCTGCTTCCCCGGCTCTCCGTCGGACTTCTTGTCCGCGGCCGCCTCGGCCTCCGCCAACTTCCTCGCCCTCATCTTCTCCTTCTTCTTCTTCCTCTTCTCCTTCTCCTCCTTCCTCCTCTCCTTCCTCCGCCGCTCAAGCTCCGCCTTCGACGCAGGGTCCGCCTCGTCCACGGCCAGCTCCTCCAGGCCCTCCGCCTTCTCCTCCGGGCCCTCCGCCTCCACCGCCGGAGCGGGTGACTTCTCCGGAGACGCCTTCTTGTTCTTGGCGCTCTTGGTCCGGGGAGGGCGGGGCCCCGGGCGCTTGGGCCGGGGCCGCTTGGAGGCCACCAGCCGCACCTTTATCTTCCTCGCCTCCGCGGCAGCCTCCCCCTCGGCGCCCCCGCCGGGGAGGAGCGCGTGGAGCTTCTGCTTCAGCTTCTTGCGCGCGAGCACCATGGCGGCGGCGGCGGCGGCGGCGGACTGGAGAGAAAGACAGAGAGAGGGGAGAGGAAGAGAGGACGGGACGAGACGGCGAGGTTTATAGTGGGCCGGGCTGATGTGGGCCTTGCATTGATCGGACGTGCGTGCGGTTCGGCCCATCAGGGCCCGGTCCGGCCCGACGGGGAGATCGATCTCTTCTCTTACCCTAGCTAGGGCCGCCGCCGCCGTGGAGCAGAGCGGCAGAGCGAGCGAGCAGGGAGGATGACGGGGGGGAAGACGGCGGCGGCGACGGCGGCGAGGTGGGCGGAGGGGTACCCGTGGAAGGAGAAGCTGGCCAAGTACAAGGGGGAGCTGAGCAAGGGGGTGTGGGGGTACTGGGAGCTGGGCGCCTGGAAGCCGCTGGGGATCAGCGGCCGGCAGCGCGCGCGGCTCCGCAAGGAGGTGCTCCTCGCCGGCGAGGACTGGACCTACGACCCGCCCCGCGGCGAGATGCGCACCAAGCGCAAGGGTCACAAGGTCGACCGCATCGCCGCCGAGAAGTAACGAGCCTCCCCCATTTCCCTCCGCCCCTCCTCGCTATCTGCTGCCATTTCTCTTCTCGATGGCCGGTTAACTTGGTTTGGTTTGGTTTGTTTCCGCAGGCGTGCCAACACCGTTGAGCTGATGAAGAAGATGCCCCAGATGCTCCTCGACTACAAGGTTCGCCTCCTCGCCTCACCTCGCCCTTCTGTGCTTCATGTTGTCTCAGTTGTGCCTGCGCATTGCAATTGTGTAGCAATCCTTGCCGTGTATAATCAATGCCGTGCTGAGCAATCCTTGTATACTTGTATGTAACCATGTGTTTCCTGGCTGGTATCAGTAGCTTGGGTGTGTTTCAATCATCAGGGTTTATTTGCTCGACGCAAGTCACATTATCAGTGTTTTAGTTTATCACTGCTTAATCTGTTGTAAGCATAGCCATAACTGGAGTCATGCGCACTGCAGACTTTGCTTAGATATAAGCCACGAGACATTAAGGCCCTGTTCGGCAACCCTCCGCTCCTTCAGCGCGGAATGGCCCTTGAGCGACTCTGAAAATTTGAACTGGATGCTGCTCCGCTCCAGAGCGGAGTTGGAGCGGGGAGAGAGTCCCAACAGGCTCTAAGTACAAGGGATTTCAAACCAACTAGTGTTATGATCTTTCTCGGCGCTTGCTCGTGCATCTTCCTTGAACATCTACACTTAAGCCCCATTTCTCCCCAAATGCAGCAGCATGAGATACTTAGGCTGCAGCTGGGCCTTCGGTTGCTGGCATGCCATTCAAATCAGCATGATTCATCATTGGGGACTTAGCTAAACTTCTAAAGAGTTTGCTCCCTGGTCTTATGAGTTCACAAGAGTTTTCACTATAGATTTTGTGCAACAATGTGTAAAGCCCAGTAAGCGCTTGCTTGCAAGATGAGACAACCTATTCTGGTCAGCTGCTAGAATGGCTATGGAGCACTGGAATTACATATCTGTGCAGATAATTAAATTTCTTGATAATTGCTAGTTATAGTTCATCTTATCATTGAACATGGATCAATTATTAAGGGCTCGATTTGGGAGAAATATATTTTCTTGTGAAAACTATGCTGCCAGTTTAGTTGAGTTCTTACTGAAGACAGCATACCTTGTACTTTAAGGCTACATGTTGTGCACTTGTGATCATTGTGTTCACCATGGCAATGATTAATGTGATTGCGTACAACTTCTCTGTGCCTTGGAATGAAGCATCTGACTGGTTCTTCTTTTGTCTGTGTTTGCTCAAATTGTTATTTCTGCAGAAACGTAGATGGGATAAAAAGATGAAAGAGGAGGAGGCGGCGGCAGCAAAGGCTACTTAGGGACTGGCCTGCTGGTGATTCTACCGTTTGTTGTGGCAATCGGGAAGGAACTCTTAATATAAACATATTCTGCGCACAATGAAACTAGTCTCCCTTTTTTGTTTGATGAGGCCAAGCTGTTGATTAAGTATGCTGCTCTTCCTGAATAAGGTCGAAGGGAGTGTAATGTAGGAATTTCATAGGCTTATTGGCTTTTGCAGTCTTTTTCGCCTTGCCACCTGCCACACTTTGTAATGCATTTTTTTTATAACATCGGTCATATAATCAGGATTCTAGCCTGGTCCCAACCTGCATTGAACCCAACTTGTTTGCTGAAACAGATCAAAATTATGAGTGTGTGTTAGTTATTCTCATGTATCATTGGCACCGCAGGGTTTCTTTTTGTGTGGCAGAAAGGGTCATTCAAGTAAATATATGCCATAGTATAATATGAGAACTGGATTATAGACACCATATAGCATTTTTCCTTTTTCTTTTGAGATCTGGGAGGAAATGTGCCAGTATATCTAGGCACCATAGAATAGAGTGATGTATAGGGCATATTTAAAACTATTATTGCACACAAGAATGACTCCTCGGTTCTTTATGTTGCTGCACTGGGAGTTGTTGCAGCTGCTAATAATAGACATAGCCTGGGTATGTGTCATATACACACACATTTGGGTTGTGTGGCAGGAAAATCATCAGGCGTCCATAGTGGTCGCACCCGGTTGCATGCATCGAGTCATGAGCCAGGAGGCCCCTCTCAGCTAGGCCCGCTTGAGATTTAACACCCACGATTGCGTTGCATTGCATCTAGTGCTCAAGATTCTATCGCACCATGTTTGATTGCATGCATCATATTGTTTGTGGTCATCTTTTCTCAAGAGTGGTGAGCTTACCAACAAATAACAGCACAACACTTCGATCAAATAGCAAGGCGTTACTCGCCATCTTGTCCAAGCTAACCGTTTGCATAAAAAACACTTGCTTGAAAAAAATAGAATTGTCTCGATGGATCTGTTGGGGATGCTGTGAATCACTTTATGACCTACAAGAGGAAGGAACATTGCAAACTTGCTCTTCCACATCTGTGACATTGCTCAGGTTGACGTTACCGAACCTCGCCAAATAGAGCGAAACCACACATCTAGTTGGAGTGGCAGATCTAGCAAAAAAGTGTTTGCATATCCAACCTCTGATTCAAGTACGAAGTCCCATTATGTATGGGCATCGAGCATGCAAAAACATCCACATTTAAACAACTATAAAGATTGCTTACAAGCATACAAAAAAGGAGGAGGAAAAATTATGCAACATTGCTATGCAAGCGGCGCAACAGCACATGTGGATGCCACGGGCCCTCAACATCACATGTTTTCTGCATGACCCTAACGGCGTTTTGCTTTGCATCCAACAACAAAGAAAATTCTAAAAGATATACAGTATAGAGAAAAGAGAACCGTTCATCCTCGGTATTCCCAGAGTACTTTCCGCTTTTGGTGTCACAAGTCGATATATTTATTTCATTATATCGTGATAGTTTACTTGTCTTTCTCCAAGCTGAAGCAAGAGGAAATTCAAAATTACAGTACAACCAGACTGGTTGTAACAAGTCGCAAGAAAGAAGGAAGAAAACTTGTTATGCCACAAGCTCAACCTAGCTTGTCGATTATCAGTCTCAACCTCAGGTTACACTTCTTTGTAGGACTACTAAACCTCCCTCAGCTTACACTTTTGGAAGCACTGTCGTGTCATATGGGGTTGATGGTTTAACCTACAAAAACAAAGATAATAACTCCGGTGTAAGAACAATCAATTCCCAGAGTGATCGAAGAGTATTTCATAGTCTTAACAGGATTTGCCTAGATACGAATGTATCTAGACACGTTTTAGTGTTAGGTACATCCGTATCTAGACAAATCTAAGACAACTAATTTGGGACGGAGGTAATAGATGACATAACATGGCAGAACAAGCAAAAGGGCATACCGCAAGAAACCGTGTGAGCAAACTTGCGCTGCTGGGGTTGAAGCCCTCGACGGGCTTTCCTTCCATGCGTGATGCATGCAACTGTTTCCTCACTGTAGAAGCCAGTGACTGAAACAACAAGTTCCATAGATAGATCACAGGTTTAGATGAAGTTAAGCAACAAGCCAAATGGAGCACAAAGACTATGCTTTTGAATGAAAAATGGAAAATATTGGACAAAGTAAATATATCATGCACAGACCTTGCCCAGCTCCACTCCCCACTGGTCAAACGAGTTGATTCCCCATATGAAACCCTGAACTGCGATCCGGTGCTCATAGATGGATAAAAGCTGAAAGGTACAAACTGTATTAGTACATTTACAAAAACAGTGAAAAGAGGATTTTGACAGCACCGTGCAATCTTGGAAAGGGCAAACAGTGACAAGAGTGCATAGTGACAGGATTGCTGATCCAAATCTCATGAAATAATTCATGATATAGGCTTCATGAAGGTGGAACAAAAACTGCCACTTCAATCACCTTGCACAGCAAGATCATAAGCAAGAAAAAATGAGGAGGCAGCGCAAAGTTTGTGGTGGAAAACATGTGCAGCTTCCACCAGCATAATCTGCCCAACAGATACCAGGACATCTCAAATTTGCTTTCTTAAGTTCTAATATTTAATCAGGGAAAGAAACCAATCAACACAACCATGATACCCATTGTGAACAGCAAAATCCTAATCTTATGTTATTATTTTTAAATGATGCATGATTCATACAACATAATCAGAATCTTGCCACTGAAAAAGAAGAGGATGTACTATACTGAATTCAGGGCTGAACAGCTTGCAACTTCAGATGAGTAGAGAGAATATTATCTGCATACCTGTCCAATCTCATAGGCAGATAATGAAGACAGCAAGAAACTCAGTGATGGCCGGTTGCCCTGAAATGTCTGAAGACACCAAAACAACAAGAATGCTCGGTCAGAAAGGCAACATTTATGGTGACAAGCTTGATGCAGTGGAATAACCATGTTCGAAATAAGTGAATAATCATCACCTTATGAGAGATAAGATTTTCGGGAACTTTCTCGCTCTGTAATTGTTCAGGAGTCTGAAAAGATGAAGTCAACTCTAATAAGAAACCAAAATAGTTCATGAAAAGCATGTTCTCCAAAATGTTGTTGAGCTATTTACCTTTCCATAAGCAAGTGCGTCAGGCTGAGCAAAGAAATTGGACATCAACTCATCATGATTGCTAACAGTTTCCCCTGATAAAAATGCACCATAGAAGTCTTTAAAGGGCATTTGAAGAACCACAAGCCTAAGAGGCTGCATCTTAAGTTTTCAACTCCAAAAGAGATATTTCAATGACATACCTTTCAAGTAAACAGGCTGCTGGCTTTTTATGACGCCAATGAAATCACAAGGAATAACTCTTCCCTGGGAGTTTAGGTACAACCATTATCAACAAAGGTGCATATCCATTGAAATATATGGTTGCCAGGACTTATAACACATGAAAGTAATCAAGTAGACAAGAGACAGATGTAAGAGGTGCCAAAATGTAACACACATAAATCATTAAGGTAACCGTGAGCATATGAAATCCTAATCCATATGGCATTATCAAATTTGATACTTTAACAGATGAAGTAATTAAGGTCATGACTTCCTGGAAATACTAATTGTGCTATGCAATATCTCCTTGTACAGTTTAGTTGATACAAATCTTCCTGGAAATACTAACTATGCTATGCAATATCTCCCTATATAGTTTAGTTGATACAAATTGCAAACCGCTACAGCACTTGGCAACATTACTAGCGAATGTGAAGCTAGTATTTACCTGATGGATTAATTGATAGAAGCTGTGTTGCCCGTTTGTTCCAGGTTCACCAAAATCAATTTCACCAGCCTCATATGGAAGTCGAACACCATCAATGGAGACACCCTTTCCATTACTCTCCATGCTAAGCTATACAACATAAATATGCATATGTTATTATGATTAAGAACAAAAGACAATCTCCATGATGGCAGCTGTTAAAAAGCAAAGCTAGTAATGTACCTGCTGAATATGTGGTGCTAGTTTCTCAAGTGCTTGAGAGTACGGCAATATTGCCTAGAAACAATAATTAGAGAAAATTGAAGTACTCAGATGGAGAATTAGATATAAATTGTAATAGGAAATAACAAGACAATGGGACTGAGTAGCTCACCCTAGCCGGATATCCGAGAAATGAAACATTCCACACACTCAACAAACCAAGGAGTACCTAAACAAAAAGAAAGACCCTGTTACAAGAATGGTTAATGGTGCATCACTGATCGCCATATACAACTCACTTACAGGTATATTTTTCTCAAATGAAGATGTGTGGAAGTGGTTGTCAATGCTGGAAGCACCCTCCAGAAATCTTCAGAAAGAAAAGAAACCAGAGCAGGATCAATTATCATCTCTGTTTACAATGCGAATGAACATTTCCAGACTTCGGCATTGGCATTGGCATTGTCATCCACATTTTGACGGTAAAAATGTTAAACGCGGATTATTTACTTATAAACCCTCTTTGGAGCTTTGAGGGGCTTGATGTATCCTAAAACCCACCAAATCTAACCTTGAAAGGACGAGGACAGGAGTTTGACCTTTCTAATTAAGTGTGGGTTTATGGCTTTATGTTACCTGGATAAGTTGTCCCGGAGTTCAAATCATCTAACATTTGTTTACTTTGCATGGTTGTGCACTAAACTATTCAAGATCCTCCAAGCAGTAGATGCTCATAGTGTTCCAGCAGAATTTAACTTATCCTATCTTTCCATTTCTACTTGTGATTAACACAAAAATATCACGTCTTACACAAATTTCCATAATACTATGAAAGAATAGTGCAGCTATCTCGATAAGTTTTGCTGGGAAAGGTATCAGGCCCAGTTATTTTTTTTCTCGTCAGAAATGTCGTATCTTTTTTATACCCACAAGTATTGGTCAATGGTGATGAACACAGATGTGTAGTATCCTTTTTGTAAAGCACCCGTAATACTGTGACAGCTGTCGTGAATGATTATGCATATATGAAGTACTTGCTCTAGTCTGAAACAGCAAAAGTTCATCCTGATTTAAGCAGAGATAATTCTTAAGGGAAATGTTTTATTTTCTAATGAGAAAAAGTGTTACAATCATGCATTGGAGATTTGGAATTTATCTCAAGTAAGAACGGCTTGATAGAATTTAGGCAATGACACCAGGCCAATGGGTCATGATACTCACTTGTTGACCAGACAAGTGAGATGGGCATCTCTGAGGTTACTTTTCTTAGAATTGTTTACTGCCATGATTCCCCATCCACTAAAGCACAAACTCGTTTGGCAGTCATGAAATTGAACCGATGTTCTAAAATTGAAACAACTATTGTCCTTTATATTTCTATTGCCTATTGCCAAAACATGAATTTCACTTCAGGGTGTAATTATAGGTTAAGATGGAGTAACATACTTCTGAACAATTGGAAATCCATACTGAAGAGACAAGGGCAGAACACCGACAGCACTGCAAACTGCAATATTTGACTAGAGTTATGATGCAGAACATAAGATATATTGGTATTAGTAACTTTAATGAAAAGAACAGTTCTCACCACTATAGCGGCCGCCAACCCAGTCCCAAAATGCAAAAGCATTGTTAGGGTCAATTCCGAACTCCTTGACAAGCTTTTTCAAAAGAAAAAGGTACAGTTAAAAAATTATCACATTAGGATCAGGGTTCTTGACAAAGAATATGGCATGGGGAATGCTCTAACAACTTAGCCAAACATGGAAAACGCAGCGACAGAACTGCAGATGTGTGAAAACAGAATATGATCATGTGAAAATTGGCTGGAAAACTTAAAGGTCGAAAAGTACCTTAAGATTAGTACTGACAGCAATCATGTGTTTGGAAACAGCCTGAGGTCTGAATTAACAAATTTCACATCAATCACTGAGCAATAAGGGTTCACAGCAGGGCTAAAGATGTTTAAGGTATTAAACAGACTTACCCAAGAGCAGAGACAATCCACTCCTTGATAGTTCGAGCATTCAACATTGTTTCAGCTGTCGTGAAGGTCTTTGAGACAACCACAACTGCACATTTGTTCGACAAGAACGATCAGAACTTCTGATGATATTTGTAGAAGCAGAGAGAGTATCTGTGCTGAGAGTTAATACTAGTGAAACATGATGATTACCAAGAGTAGTTGCAGGGTCTAAATCTTTGATGCTCCGTGCAACATCAACTGGATCAACATTTGCAAGACTGCAGTATAACCACAATAGAGCACATATTACTAGATGAAGAGCATATCGATTGCATGAACGGTATGAGAAGTGAAAAATATAGCCACTCAATCACAATATTCAAGAAGGCACAACTAGAAAGATTCATGAATGGTACAGAAAGTCAAAAACATAGCCGGTCGATCACATTTTATTTTACTTTTAGCATCTATAGGAAGTGCCAGCACAAAAGGTATGACAGGTGCCGGCAAAAGAAAAACAGAGAGATGCCCCAAGTATACACTTACAATCTCAGTTGTCGGCCTTTGGCAGATTCTGCTGCTTCCGGGTCTGGAAATTAGCAACATTTTCATGGCATATCAGATCAAAATCTGGCAGTAAATAATCTCACGTTAGAAAACCTAGAAAAGGAGTGGATGACATATTCCTTTACCAGTCTGGAGAGCCGTATGCACAAACAGAGGTCCAAGGAAGCTACCACCAATCCCAACTGAGACAACATTTGTCAACGGTTTCCCAGTTGCCCCAACCTGCATTCCAAGAAGTAGCAGTGATCATTTTTTACCGTTTCTGCTAAATTTGACAGGTTAAGAAGTTTGTCTGAAGAAAATTTACCCATGAGCCACTTCTGAAAGTCTCTGAAAACTGCTTGATTTTATCCTTAACAGCCCAAACTTCGGGGACCACGTTCACCCCGTCACTGTTTATGACTGCGTCTCTTGGAGCCCTGAGAGCCACATGGAGCACTGATCTGTTCTCCGTGGTATTTATCTGACAGACAGATCAATCAAGTCAACTGAGACATGTATACGGTAATACCATCCACCCCAAATTGTTTGTTATCTATGAACTGGATACATTAAAGTAGAGAAGTTGCCATGGCTCATAACTACTTTTCCCAATATTAATATTCGTCTGAATGACATGTACAGATCACAAGTAGTGTATGCCGAATAGGCACATGTGATGTGATGGAATAACTGAAGAACGGTCGCAGGGCACGACACTGACCTTTTCGCCTTTAAACATCTTGTCAATCTTCTCCTTGAGCTTTGCGGTCTGCAATAATAAATCCAGTACATCCCAAATTACTCTCAAAGACAGGAAAAAAAAGAAATTAATCGAAACAAGCGTCTCACCTCTGCCAGCTTGAAGAGCTTGTCGACGGTCTCGGTGGTGGCCTGCTGCCTCGAGTAGTCCAGGAAGACGCCTTCGAATTCCCTGGCAATCCAATGCAATCCAACGAATCGACCGTCAACATCTCAGACACGCCGGAAAGAAGATCGGAAAACAAAGAGGGGCGGGTGCTTACGCCGTCATTGCCTTGCATCGGTCGGCGTCCGTCATGAGATCGCGCAGGTGCGTCTTGTGGATCGCGCCGACGTGCGCCTGCGGTCACGAAACACACACACACACGGTGAGATCCTGGCAATCCGATCGGAAGCACAGACAAGAGCGGGGAAGAGTGGGGAGAAATCCGCGGGCGACGGGCGGAGGCAACCCGCACGCACCTGGAGGGCCTTCCACTGGTCGGTGTCGGAGATGAGCGCCGGCGACGCCATGGCCGGGCGGACCTGGCGGAATTGGGGTGGAGGACAAGCCGCCTTTAATCCCAGCAAAAAATAGTAATAAAGGCCGACGGATGGATTGGGGAGGAAGAGATAGAAGAGGAGCACTTGATCCGGACCTGGAGGATGTCGACGGACGGCGGGCTGCCGGAGAACGGGGCGCGGTCGCCGAGGAGATGACGGATCGGTGGTGGAAGAGAATAGAAGCGGGGAGAGGAGGAGGGCGTGTAATATATTAATCGGCGTGGGCCGTGTCCGTGCCGTATTTGCGGGGCCCGCCTGCCAGAGAACGGCTGGCCAACAGTCCTTCAATAAAAAGGGTTAATATCGATGCGGACACCGAAAGATAAAAACTGGAGGCAGCTACTTTCTTGTCTTGTCTTGGGACAAGAGAAAAGGGAGACCAAACCGGGGGCTGCGTCACGTCGTCAGCTTTGCGCGGCCACGTCACGTGTGGATGGTTTTGGACGGGTCACCGTTGAGGGGCTCGTTCTCTCTTTTTTTTTAAAAAAAACATCCAATCTATACATCTTCAATCATTAGAGTGCAATCAAAAGCATCAGAAATAATACAAACTACAACCAGTGACTCGTTGAAAACAATGATTTGTTGGACCAGTTCCAGTTGCTGTGACAACTGTACGTCTGGTTAGGGCGGCTAGGTATTTAAACCTAAGGACACACAGTCCCGGACACCCAGTTCTGAACACGCAGCTCAGGACACCCAGTCCTCACCGTATTCCCCTTGAGCTAAGGTCACACAGACCTCGCCCAATCACTCTGGTAAGTCTTCAAGGTAGACTCCCAAACCTTCACAGACTTCGTTCACCGGCAATCCATAATGTCTCTTGGATGCTCAGAACGCGACGCCTAATCGGCTGGAGGATGCACAGTCCTCAAGTGTAATAAGTCTTCAGATCACACAGACAAGAAGACCTAAGTGATGCCTAATTCTCTTTGGCTCTGGATGGTTAGGGCTTTATCCTCGCAAGGAATTCTCTCTCAAAGGCTTCGAGGTGGGTTGCTCTCAAACGACAATAGCCGTACTCTGAATCTGAGCAGCCAACCCTTTATGGTTGTAGGGGGTGGGCTATTTATAGCCACTTGGCAACCCGACCTGATTTGTCCGAAATGACCCTGGGTCACTAAGGAACTAACACGTGTTCCAACGGTCAGATTTCAAACTCACACGGCAACTTTACTTGGGCTACAAGCAAAGCTGACTTGTCCGACTCTGGACAAGATTCGCTCTCAAAGTCTTCACTCGAAGACATAGGTTTTGTTTAAGCATCACTTCAGTCATTCTGACTGGTTCTCTTGGACCCCACTTAACAGTACGGTGGTTCCTATGACTCAACACAGAAGAAAAGAACTACGAAAGATCTAAGTCTTCGAGCTCCATAGGCTTCATGCGGTGTCTTCTCTTGTCATAGTCTTCAATGTGAATATCTTCATATACCACCTTTGACTTCATTGTCTTCATACATTTTTAGGGGGCATCTCTGGTAGTAAAACCGAATTAATGAGGGACTTCTACCTGTGTTATCCTGCAATTCTCACAAACACATTAGTCCCTCAACTAGGTTTGTCGTCAATACTCCAAAATCAACTAGGGGTGGCACTAGATGCACTTACAATCTCCCCCTTTTTGGTGATTGATGACAAACTAGTTGAAGTTTTCAACGGGGAATATAATCTGTAAAATTATAAAGGATAAGGAATTGTCTTCATAAGTTGCAAGGGCTCCCCCTGAAGATGTGCATATAAGTAATTTGCTTTTGGAATGCAAATGCACATGGCAGGTTGTACTTGTGGAGATCCACTTCAACTTATGATGACAATCCACTATGCATGTGAAAGTATATGAAGATAATGACATGCATAATGGAAAATGGACGTTTGCAGAATGATCTAAGTGCGGAATTTATTGTCGCACATGCGGAATTTATCATCGCAACACAAGGTGCCAAATAAGTAGCAGACGACCATCGAGTTTAAGTATTACAACTCAAAGAACCAAATGTAGCAAAACGAGAGTTGTAAGCACGAAGCAAAATATAAAGCACCCGCCCATATGGACCCGCTTGAAGACTATCAACCTCATATGCTTCACCCCTTTTGTCAGTAAGGACCAAAAAGGTTTGAAGACATAGAGCATCTACTCGTTCCCATGAGGAGTAGGTGAAGCAGCAGGGTCGTTGGTGGTGTTTGGCGGTGCTGAAGAGCTTGGAGCAGAGTCGAAGCGTGCTGAAGAATGTGGCGGTGAAATAGCATCGTCTTCATCCTCGATCACTCTGGCATGCACAGTTGCAGTAGAGGAAGAGAACTCAGAGTCTTCAAGGGATGGAGTTCGTCGCAGCACTGCCCTTCGAGGAGGTGTGGAATCAAACTTGAATCGCTCAGTGAAGCCATCCTCTTGAAGATCATCTTCAGAACACATCAGCGTTAGCCCTTTCCATGTACGGCGAGAGGTTTCATGGGCAACAAAAGCATTCTTGATGGCAAGATTGCGAATGTGATTAACATCCACCAAGAGGCTTTGCATCTGACGCTTTAGCCAGTCATGATGCCTATCCTGTTTCTGATGAAGAGCCACAAGAAGCTCTCGGTCGTTGAGAACACGAGTGCGCTTCTTGGGTCGTGGAGCAGTTGTACTGTCAGTGGCTTCAGTGAGAGCAGGATGCGGTGCACGTGTAGTGCCAGCCAGAGGATACACACGAGTTACGGCTTCCACGCCTTCAGCGTTCTGAGTGAAATTTTGATGCTCTGCATTCTGAAGACTGAGAGGTTCCTTGGCAGGCTCAGGATAGATGGCTTCAATAGACATATCCACATCAGGCAAAAAGATTCGATGGTTGCGGGCCGAGGGCTGATATGAGATAGCGGAGTGAAGTTTCATCAGCCGCATCACCCAGGGGGCATAGAACTTCAAACCAAACAGATCGGAGCCAGATGCAGCAAGTTGACGAATGAAGAAATCATGTGTATTGAAGCATTTTCCATGAAGAATGTAGAAGACCAAAGTCTTCATTGCACCTTCCAGCTTGGCATGGGGAGAATGTCCTTTGATTGGCCAGAGAGTTCACCTTAAGATGTGATAAATGGTTCTTGGCAGATACTCAAGGTCTTCAACGAAGAACTCCATGGGATAAGCAGCGTCTTGGGGCAATGGCTTCATCATACCGAGCATCTGACTCATATTAGGTTCAGTCTTCTGAAAGATGCTCTCAATAGCTTCACTATGAAGCTGACAACCATGCTCGTATAGATCGCTAGGAGTGGGCAAACCAGTGAGCTCAATGATGTCAAAGGCTTTGGCTTTGTGATGAACGTTTCCTGTCATCCACTCCAAGACCCAAGTCTTCAGATCTCTGCTATACCCGCAGATGTGAAGTGTGGCATAGAATTGGAGCAGCAACTCTTCATTCCAATGCTCTTGGTCAGTGACGAACGGCAGCAGTCCAACTTCTTTGAAGCAATCCAGAGCTTCTTCCAGACAGGGCAGACCAGCTATTGCTTCAATGTCAAGGCGCTTGTGAGGGAAGATGCGACCTTGGTTGTAAAGAACGCATGAGTAATAGCTTCGCTGCGGATAACTCCAGAACCGATCAGATGGTATTCTTTCCCTGGAGTAGGGGTTCTTGAAGCTGTTGAAGAATGTATTGTCTGCTCTGAAGCCATTGATATTGAAGGAGCCAGGTGCTGATGCAGGACCTGGGAACCTTGGCAATCTTGGGATTGGCTTATGTACCTGAGGTCTGTGCCCAACATGATAGTCGAACTGGGGACCGGCAGCAGACTCAGGAACAGAAGTGGCGAGATCAGTGGCTTTGCTGACTTCTAGTGCTTTTGTTGGTGAGGGATCCACATTAGCTTCAGCCATGACAGCGTCAGTGGCTTCAGTGGTGTTGGTGGTGGCAGCCTCAAAATTTTCAACCTCCACTTGACGAGCTGGAGGGTCGATCACAATCATGTTCTCCTCGAGAACCGCTTCTTGGTGGGACAGGGGAGTAGCAGCTTGTGGTACTTCTTCTTCATCGGCTGATGCAGCCGGAATGTCTTCAGCAGTTTTAGCTTCAGACGCAGAGACTTGAGGCCTTGGACCTTTACGAAGCCTGCGCAATGTGGGCGACGCCTATGGAGTTGGTGTTGGCTGGGCCTCAGAGTCTTCTTTCTCTTATGGGCGATCAGCCCATGAAGCATCCTGCGCAATTGGCATCAGTGGACGACCAATACTGATGAGTTCGTTGTGTGTTAGCACAGGCGATGATACCTGTTGGTGTTCGAGCTGAGGAAGAACTGCATCATCTTCAACATGGTCATGGTGACCAATGTCTTCAGCAGCGATGGGATCAGCTGCTGGAAAGTCTTCAGCTTCATGAGCCTCTGTGAAAGCAGGCTCATGGACAGTGAGTTGACGTTCTTGTGGATCGGCGTCGGGGTGAACCATGGAAATGGGTTCAACAATCAAGGGCTTTGTGGGAGCAGCCTGTTCCTTCTTGGTCTTTCTTTTCTTCTTGGAGGGGGTAGTAGCAGAGGCTTCAGGATGTTTTCTCTTCCTTGCCTCAGCCTCAGCAGTCCTGGCCTTCTTCAGTTCTGAAGCGGTTGACCTGGCCTTTGGCTTCGGGCCAGTCATGCTAGTTGGGAAGACAATGGGATCTGCTTCGTGCCTTGGTGCATCGGGTTCAGCCATAGCGGGCTTCTTCTTTTTCTTGGCAGCCATCCTGGGGTCGATGCTAGGACGCCCAAGGGCCTTGCGCTTCTCAGCCTCATTGTAGGCTTGCACACACCTGTCAGCCAGGACCTTCATGCGCTCACGAGAACCCTGAGCTTCTGCATGTTTCTTGATAAAGGCTTCCTTGAGCTCGTGCAGTATAAGCTTGAAGTTCTTCACGTCTTGCACGCTGAGCTTGGCCATATGCTTCTTGAACTGAGATTTCTCAAAGTCAATCTTCTGCTTCAGTTCAACAACGCGCTGGGCGATGGCTAACTCTA